AAGCAACTTCTTTATTAACCAATGGTAATAAAACGTATTCACATCATACAGAGGGGAATCCCACATCAAATACAGGCCTCAAATCCATTTTTTTTAAAAGTTGATTTCCCTAAACAGTTATGCCACTGTTGTGTCAGTGGGTATATCTTGCCTGGTAGGTTGGTAATGTGGCACAGACTACTCACAGTGAAGTAACACTGTTTTATTTTTTTGTTGTTATTTTGTTTTGTTTTTTTCGAGACAAGGCTTTTCTGTAAATTTTGGAGCCTGTCCTGAAACTCGCTCTGTAGACCAGGCTGGTCTCGAACTCACACAGATCCACCTGCCTCTGCCTCCCAAGTGCTGGGATTAAAGGCATGCGCCACCACCACCCGGCTGTTCTGTTCTTTTTCAAGACTGGGTTTCTCTGTAGCTTTGGAGCCTGTCCTGGAACTTGCTCTGTAGACCAGGCTGACCTCGAACTCACAGAGATCCACCTGCCTCTGCCTCCCTAGTGCTGCTGAAGCAAAGGACTGCCTAATTAATGCTGCTCTTGTCTTAACATTTCTATAATCTATTCTTCACAAAGATTACAAACTGAAAAGTTAAATAAAGCTGGGTGTGGTGGTGCATGCCTGTAATCCCCTTTCGTGTGAGGGTGAAACAGGAAAATGGTGAATTCCATATCAACATAAACTCCATAGCAAGACTTAGGCTTCTTTAATCCCAGCATTTGAGAAATAGAGACACACAGATTTCTTGTGAGTTCAAGGCTAGCCTGGATTACATAGCAAGTTCCAGGACAGAAAGAGCTACATAGAGAGACCTTGAATCGAAAAGGCCAGCTTGTCTTGTAAGCATGAACATGGGTTCAAACTCCACAACCAACTGCAATGAATCTGGGGCTCACCACGCAATCTGCCCAGCCTTCAAGGCCAATGAGAGACCCTGTCTCAGAAAACCAAGTGAATATCTCCCTTCCCTCTCTGGCCCAGTGCATGCACATATGCACACACAAATAAATGAAATGAAAAGAAGAAATGAGATAAGAAGAAATACAGGAATAGGAAATCAGTTGGTAGAGTGTTTGCCTGACATAAACCCATAACTTCAATCTCCAGCCTTTAATCCCAGCACAAGTGCAAAGACACTTGGTCATTAACAGAACACACAAAACATGGTCCCATGAGTGAGTGTGCCTCTGGTCTAGTGAATATGTAGTAGGGAACAAAGATCTGGACAAAGATATGTAGGCTGAGGACCTAAAAGTAAGAATAATAATCTCCTGAGTAAATTGGGAGCATGGGGATCATGGGAGAGGGTAGAAGGGGAGGGGAGAAGAAGGGAAGAGACTAGATTAAAATATATAGCTCCATAAAATAATAAAAATATATAAAAGACTTTAAAAAGAATAATAATCAACAGGCTTATTCCTGAGAAGAACGTTTCTGGTTCAGACTGCGGACAGGTTGGAAAGGATGAGTTTCAAGCTCCTTTTGATTTGGTAAGTTTTTGGAAGAGATCAAATGGGATGGCAGCGTGGCACCATTGCTAGAGTGTGGTGCAGCGTGCACAAAGCCTGCCTGAGTCCAATCCCTTGCACTGCATAACTGAGTACAGTGGCACAAGCTTCTAACCCTAGCACAACGGAGGTAGAAGAACGTGGGTCAGAAGTTCAAGGCCCATTTTTGGTGTAGGCTCCATAGGACCCAGGTCATCTTTGGATACTTGAGACTCTGTCTCAAAAAGGCACTAAGAAAACAAAGCAAAACAAAAGTCAGACTGTATGGTAGTGCCAAGAGATGTTCAGGAAAGCTAACACTTAGTGAATGGACTCATCAAACTTCCAGTCTTGCAGACTTCTTGTATGATAAATGTCCTGCACACATGTATTCTGTGTCTTAATTTCTTTTAAAGAGCTATTTTTATTTTTTGTGTTTCTTTTTAAGGCAAGGTCTTGTTCTGTAGCTCTGGCTGGTCTAGAACTCTATGCAAAAGAGGCTGGGATTAAAGGCAAGCGTCACCACCACCCAGCGCTGGCCTTAAATTTATAGAGACCCTTGCCGGGCGGTGGTGACACACACTTTTAATCCCAGCACTCAGGAGGCAGAGGCAGGCAGATCTCTGCGAGTTCAAGGCCAGCCTGGTCTACAAGAGCTAGTTCCAAGACAGGCTTCAAAGCTACAAAAAACCCTGTCTCAAAAAACAAAAAACAACAACAACAAAAAAATTAGAGAGACCCACCACCAGCCTCTGGCTCTTGACACCTGTGATTAAAGGTATGTACCACACACCTGGCAACTTTTATTATTTTGTGTGTGTGTGTGTGTGTGTGTGTGTGTGTGTGTACCCTTAGAAGCCAGAAGAGAACCTCAGATCCTTCAGAGCTGGAGTTACAGATGGTTGTGAGCTGTCCAACATGGGTACTGGTAGTCAAACTCAGAAGAGGGGCAAAGAGCTCTTAACTACTGAACCATTATTACTCTAGCCCTCCATGTTATTTATGTGTGTGTGGATGACACATGTATGGGCACATATATCCCTCAGTACACATGTGGGGTTCAGAGGACAATGTGCTGGGATCAGTTCTTTCCTTCCATCATGTAGATCCTGAGGGTTGAAGTCAGACCCTGAAGTTGGTGGCAAATGCTCTTACCTGCTGAGCCATCTCGCTAGCCTTTGTTCCTCTCTTTGTCGGCTCTCTGATTTATTTATTTCATATGTATGAGTATTTTGCTTACATAGATATGTGCATCACATGTATGCCTGGTGGGATGGATCCCCTAGAACTGAGTTACAAACAGTTGTAAGCTGTCATGTGGGTGCTGGGAATTGAACCTGGGTCCTCTAGAGGAGCAGCCAGTGCTCTTAACTGCTAAAACACCTCCCCAGTCCCATTTGTTTCTCTCTTCTAAGATCTTGTTTTTATCTTACATGTATGAATGTTTGGCTGCGTGTATGTGTCTGTACCATGTGCCCACAGAGGCCAGAAGCGGGCATTGGATCCCCTAGAACTGAAATTACAGATAGTTATAAGCCATCACGTGGGCATTGGGAACCAAACCAGGGTCTTCTGCAAGAGGAGCAAGTGCTCTTAACCACTGAGCCATCTCTCCAGTCTCATCCTTCACGGTTCACACCTCTTTGTTGCAGTGCTGGGGTATAATGCAGAGCTTTGTGTGATCCACCACTGAGCTGTATCGACAGCTCTTTTTAAATTTATTTTTATTTTATGTGCATTGGTGTTTTGCTTGTATATATGTCTGTGTGCGGGTGACAGAAGCCCTGGAACTAGAGTTACAGACAGTTGTGAGCCACCCTGTGGGTGCTGGGAACTGATCCTGGGTCCTCTGGAAGAGCAGCCAGTGCTCTTTACCTCTGAGCTGTCTCTCCAGCCCAGCCAGCACTTTTATAGCACTTTTTAAAAAATTATTTTTATGTGCAGTTGTGTTTTGCCTTCATATGTATCTAATCTTGGAATTACAGACAGTTGTGAGCTGCCATGTGGGTAACTGGGAATCAAACCTGGGTCCTCTGGGAGAGCAGTCAATGTTCTTAACAGGGCAGGCTGGAAAGAAGGCTCAGAGGTAAAGAACACTGGTTGCTCTTCCAGAGGTTATGAGTTCAATTCCCAGCAACAACATGGTGGCTCACAACCATCTATGATGGAATCTGGTGCCCTCTTTTGACATGTAGGCATACATGTTGTCAGAACACTGTATACATAACAAATAAGAAGAACCCAAAATTTAAAAGACCTAGTACATAAAGATAATTGAATAATGGATAAATATGTTCTCAATATCTTAATTAACTCTGGATTTCTAGCATCCTCATAGAAGGTCTGTTAACACATAGTAAATCAACGACAGCTTTAACATGGGAGGTAGAACTTGGCAAACACATGCATCCAGCAAGACTCTCACACATTTTCTTTGTGCTAGTTACAGTTGGGTGCTGTTTCTGGATTTATTGCTCTGCTCAACAACGGCATCAACATCACACTCCATTACCCTCCAGTAAATATCTCTTTTTAAGAGGATATGTGACATTTCAGATAAAGCTCTTTGTTGTCATGTTGTGGGGACCGGAATACAACAGCCTCCTGCTTTGGCCTCCCAAGTCCTAGGATTATAGGACAAATAAAAACAGAGAAAATTCAAGGTGATGTATTCCAGCCATGCCTCTGCTAGTGTAGGACATAAAACCACGGAGGCCTGGACAACACATGGGAGCATGATGTAATGTCCATGTTGTTTAGCTCTATGGAAATGACATGTAAGATTATCAGAATGCCTCACCCAAATTCAAGTTCAGCCACTACAGATGAACTAGCTTAACTGTAGTACAAGCAGGAAAATTCGAATAGGAAATGAGGAGAAAGGGAGGACCATTTAGAACTGGATGGTTAGGAGAGGCAATATGGCATCTCCCAGGCTCCCAAGCGTTCTCCATCTCTTTCTCCTCGTGAGAAGGGGAAGAAGGCAGAGCTGTAGGATGCCTGCTCTGTTAAGTGTGAGGCAGAACACACGGGCCTCTTCTCTCCTCATGGAATCACTTCCCACATTGATTGGGAACTCAGCCGGGCCCTGGGCCCTGGCAAGCCGGGCCGCAGACCTCCCGGACACGGCCACAGAGCCTAGCTCCAAAGCCGGCCACGACCAGGGGAAGACGCATGTGGAGTTTCGGGTTTCCACAGAGCCGCCCACGCCCCTTCCATCGCAGCCTCGCGGGGGCAGCGTTGGGGCAACGGACCAGCTGTAGGTCCAAAAATGAGGTGAGCAGCCGCCGCCCCAGATGAAGGCGTGAGGCCAAGGGGCTTCCCTGAAGGCGAGCAGCGTGAGAGCTCACAGACATTCCCACCGGCCGGCTCACGTCGCTCGGCCCCCCCCCCCCCCCCCCCCACCCCCCCCCCCCCCACCAGCGCCTTTAAGGGGCGTGACGACAAGCTCCGCCCCTCCTGCCCGCGCGCGCCAATAAGGGGAGGGACGCGAGAGGAGGAGCCCAGTGTGCGGAGCAGGAGGCGAATTGTGAGCCGATGCGCAGGCGCAGTGGCCCGGCGAGGGACAGTGTGTTTTCAAAATGGCGGCAGCGATGGATGTGGATACCCCCAGCGGCACCAACAGCGGCGCGGGCAAGAAGCGCTTTGAAGTGAAAAAGGTTGGGTCTTGCCAGTACCTTCCTCAGGGAAACTAGCGAGGCGCGGATATGGCTGGCAGGCCTGAGGACGAGCGGGGCGCGGGGGAAAGAGCTTCGGCTCAGGGCGTTCCTGGGGACCGGGTACCACGAAAGGAAGCTGGAGGGCGGGCTTTAGGGTTGATCGGCGTGACGGTGGTCCACTATCTGAGGCCATATTAGTTTCGCTGGGGAAGCTGAGAGGCCAATCGCGGAGCTGCTTACTGAAACACGGGGGGTCGACTTCCTTGCGGGAGCCAAGCGCTTGAGCTGTCACTAAAGTGACTGAGAAGTGGGGGAAGGACTGGGTGGGGTGTGTGGAATGGAGACTCTCGCGGAGACTGCGGCGGGTGGAGGATGGGGCAGTGCGGAGAAAGCTGGGAACGTGCGATCGGACCGCACTGGAGGCTCTGAGAAGCCCCGCCGGTGCTCTTGCCCCGCCCCTTCCTGGATCCTTGAGTCTTTTGACTCCCTGGAGTCCTGGTTTGGGGCCTCGATTGTATGGAGGCCTTCATTAGCCTCGGAAGGCCTAGTCTTCGTGTGTAAGACTTGGTTCTTCCGAGGTGTCTACTGCTTATCACATAGCTTCTGCCAGTCCCATACTTCTCTAATGTCCAGATACCTTTCTAACAAAAATCAGTAACTAAAAAGCTTGGTGGTCTTTCTTTTAAAAGCAAACCCAGAACTTAAGGCGTTTAGGAAAGTGGGGTACTAATTATTAATGATTTGAACAGGAAAGTAGAAATGTGGAACTTCTTTTTGCTTTCTATTCTCCTTCATAGTTCAGCAGTCTGGGAGAAAGGTGTCGGTTCCTACCTAAGATTATTACATAAATCTGTTCAAAATGAAGATCGTGAAGTTGGGCAGATGTAGTTTTGGAACGTGTCGCAGAGCACACTCACCACCCCACCCCTTTGGTGTCTCATTGCTGCTCTTTACAGCCAGCAGCCATGTTGAAGAAGACTCAAAATAATCATTTTTACCTCCCACTCGATGTGGCATGAAGTGTAGTATAGAAGTTACTAAACGTCTGAGAGCTGAATTTGAAAGAAATGAAGAGTTGGGAAGTCACATCAAAGTAGCCCTTGAGAGGGGTATCTGGCAGGATGTGTGTATCATTGCAGAAGCCGGTTGATCTACATTTAGATTGACTAGAATTAATAGTTAATATTACTAGACTTAATAGTTTGGACATATAAAAGTTGAGAACATCGGAAAAGAAAATTTAGTGGCTTTTACTTTGCCATGAAATTAATCTGGTTAGATTTAAGTGATGACCTTGTTCCGTGTACTGACACTGAAGGTCACTAGCTGTCCAGCTTCTCCCGCGATTATCCTCTCTCTGATCTAGTCGTCGTCTTAGTCATTCTGCTCACCTCCCTGCTCCTGGGTCCAAACTGCCCCCAGATTTCGAGTCCGTCCTTCCACAACTGCCAGGGAAAGCTGCACGATAAGTTTGTACTTAATTAAATCTAAAGCAGGCGCTTAAAAATTTGCTGACATTGGTTTGACTAGCTAAATTATTTTACACTACAGACAGAAAATTGAAGAATCCCATGTTCATATATTCCATCTTTGGGTGAACGAGAAAGCATCCATATAGTTTGCTGTTGTCCTCTGACGTAGTACCTATATAATCCAAAAACATTCTTTCTTGGATAATCCCTATGGCTAAGGAGTTGGTAGCTGGAGCTGAAACCTGAAATCCTAATGAGTCTGTTCCATTACAAGAAAAATGCATTGTTTCCCCTCTTTTCTCTTCGCAGTGGAATGCGGTAGCCCTCTGGGCCTGGGATATTGTAGTTGATAACTGTGCCATCTGCAGGAACCACATTATGGATCTTTGTAAGTAACTCAGGGAGTGTGGGAAGAAGTTGAGAAGGTTACAGAAATGGTGATCATCCTGATGTGACTGATTTTTTTTTTTCCCACGAGTAGACATAAAGCAGGATCAGAACCCTTGGGTACTTGTGCATCTCATTCGTTGGTATGTTTGAAATAGAATGTTTGTATTTGGTTTTTGAGACACGGGTTTTATGTGTAGCCCTGGCTGTACTAGAACTCACTATTAAATTAAATAGTTAAAACTAATTTGCCTAAAGTTCCTATCAGCCATCTCAAATAAAAAGTTAAATTGTTTTTTAAAATGATGTCTTAGAGGCATGCCCAGCTCTCAGAATAGTCGTTGTAAAACCAACAAGATCCTATTCAGAATGAGTTGTAGGAAGAGTTGACATTTCTTCTCATCTTGTACAGACACAAAGATAAAATTAGTGAAAGAAAATGACCTTTGAAAGTAGATACGTAAGTGTAACCCTGTAATCCTAGCGTTTGGGAGGCAATGGCAAGCCAGGGCTAAAGTTTGAGCTACAGTACATTAATCTGATCTAGGTTTTGTTGGGTGAGATTTACAGTCACGGGCTGGAGGGATGGATGGTTCAGCGGTTAAGAGCACTGGCTGCTTTTCCAAAGGACCCAGGTTTAATTCCCAGCAATCACATGGAGACTTACCATGGTCTTATCACTTCAGTTCCAGGAAATTCAATGCCCTCTTCTGACCTTGAAGGGTACCAGACATATTCTAGTACAGACATAACATACATACATATTAAATAAATAAGCAAATAATTACAAAGAAAATTTACAGTCTGTCATGCATAATCTCAAGTTCTATCTACATTTGTAGGTTCAAGCAGCATCTGTGTGTGTGTATGTGGATGTATGTATGTATGTCCCCACATTCTCCACATTTACACATGCACACATAGGTTTTTGGCAGTTCTTTCAGATATTCCCAAGATATACTATAGTACCCCTACATGTCTGTCATTTAAGTAGGTGGTTATTTACTACTTTAGCATATTATCTAAGCCAGTGTTGTGGCGCACGCCTATAATCCCAGCAGTTGGTAGGCAGGCTGGTAGATCTCTGTGAGTTCTAGGCAGCCTGGTCTACAAAAGTGAGTTCCAGGATAGCCAAAGATACACAGAGAAACTCTGTCTCTAAAAACAAAACAAAAATATCTAATATATAATAAAATTGCTCTGAATGTTTGCTAGATGGATAACAAAAACCAAATGGTGTAACAGTCTGATCACTGCAACTTGGAAAGCACATGTGCCGTTTGCTGGTAGCTGTTGCTGGCTCAGAGTTTCTCTAAACTTTGACTTACTCTTTTTGTGGGTTTTTGTTGTTGTTTTTGATTGTGTTTTGTTTTGTTTTTTTGAGACAAGGTTTCTCTGTGTAACATTCATAGCTGTACTGGAACTCATTTTGTAGACCATGCTGGCCTCGAACTCACAGAGATCTGCCAGCCTCTGCCACTTGAGTGCTCGTATTAAAGACACGCACCACTTTCACCTGGTTCTGAGCACGGCAGCTCTTATAAGGAAAACATTTATTGAGGAAACTTGCTTACAGTTTCAAAGGTTCCGTCCATTATTATCATGGCAGGAGCATTATGGCATGAGGCAGACATGATGCTGCAGGAGTAGCTAAGAGTTCTACATCTTGCAGGCAACAGGAAGTCAACTCAGACACTGGGTGGTATCCTAAAATAGGAAACCTCAAAGCCTACCTCCACAATGACAAACTTCCATCAGTAAGCCATATCCACTCTAACAAAGCCACACCTCCTAATGGTACCACTCCCCGTGAGATTGTGAGGGCCAGTTACATTCAAACTACCACAGTGGTAGAACCAACAGGATTAGGAGTTCAGAGTAATCTTTGGCTACATAGCAAATTCAAGGCAGCTTGATTTTATACATATAGAACGGTAGGTAGGTAGATAGATAGACAGACAAAGAATTTATGAGACCCTCTCTCAAAAAGAACAAGAAGTCGTGCTGGTGAGTTATTTCTCTGCTCAGTGATTTCTTCTGGCTCCACCTCTGAACTGGTGGGGAAAGGCCTGCGCCACTTTGTCTTTATGGGTGCAGGTGTCATTGTTTTTGCTTGAGACAAGGTCTCACTGTACAGTCCAGGCTGACCTGGAACTTAACAGATATCTGACTGCCTCTGTCTCATGAGTGCTGGATTTCAGGCATGAGCCCCAGGCCTAGCCCTAGTAAATTCTTGACTGTGAAGCACAGACCTTAGACTCTTCCGGGTGGTAAGCATACTGTACTGTTACACTGTTTCTGAACAGCAGAATCGGTTCTGTGATTTCAGAGCCTTGGCTTCTCATCTCTCTGAGGAGTGGGAAAAAGACCAACTTTAAGATTGATGTCCCAGTAATGCCTAGCCTTTCTGCTTCCCATCTGCTAGCCTGGTACAATTGTACCAGAATAAGGAGTCTTTCCTAACCTTTTTGTTTTTCAGAAGGGAAATTTTATTTGGTTGACATCTTCAGTAACACTTTGTAAATGCAGTGCTGCTTCTCCTGAAATGGCCTTGGAATGGTCTTGAAAATTATTAGGGGGAACCAATGAGTAATCCTAGCTGACTTCAGACTCGCAGATATCCTCCTGCCTCTGCCTACCAAGTCCTGGGATTATAGATGTGAACCACTGCACAGCCCTCTCTACTGGTTAATGGCCAATTACCCTCTTGAGGACCTGGCTGGCCAGGTTGGAAGCTGCTGCCCTCAGGTTCAATGATGCTTTTGCTCTTGTTCCCACAGGCATTGAATGTCAGGCCAACCAGGCGTCTGCTACTTCTGAAGAGTGTACTGTTGCGTGGGGAGTCTGTAATGTAAGGAATCATCTTTACCTATGCCTGTGACTTGTGCCTGTGTGGCCGCTTGTTCTGCTTTGTCAGTCTGGGAAATTATTAGGGATAATGAGTAGCCCACCTTTCTCCCAAAAGCTAGACAAATAATAAAGACAGATTTTAAATCCTTACAGTATTAAATTTAACCAGATAAGCAGTAGTTATTACAAAGAAAAATAGTTTGTCTTAATTATTATTAAGTGGGCCTTTTTTCCTATGCAGTGTTGTCAGTATTCATCTACCTTCAGGGATTTTCTTCAAAGCTGAAAACTGTCTTGGGAGAATATCTGTACCTTCTCAACAGAACTTTTTTCTTATTTTATGTATATGAGTACATGTTGGACTTAATCCCAGAAGAGGACATCAGATTCCATTAGATGGTTGTGAGCTGGGAATTGAACTCAAAACTCAGAACCTATGGAAGAGCAGCCAATGCTCTTCACCACTGAGCCATCTCTCCAGGCCCCTCAACAGACCTCCTAAGGGAAGTGTCTAGGGTATGTGTGTGTTTTGTGGCTCCTCCCAGAAATATTTAGTGCGGCAGTGTTGACTGAACGTCCAGCTTTGCAGGGTGCGACAGCTGTGATACATTATTTCTGGCACGTTAAAAATTAATCTACAGGACCGTAGTCTTGGTTACAGGAGCTAAAATTGCTCTGACCAGTCAGTTGTCTGAATACACAACTTCCGTTGTGACACAGTCATGGATTATGGGCTCAGATCCCTCTGTTTTTGTCTTACTAGCTAAGTGACTTTGTCAGATCATCTAACAGCTCTAATCCTGGGTTCCCTCAGGTAAAATATGGCTAATAGTGAAAGTATAAACAGGATTAAATGATTTAACTTTTGGTTTTTTCAAGACAGGATTTCTCTGTGTAACAGCCCTGGCTGTCCCGGAACTCACTCTGTAGATAGACCAGGCTGTCTTCAAGCTCACAGAGATCCTTCTGCCTTTGCCTCTCGAGTGCTGGGATTAAAGGCGTGTGCCACCACCACCCCGCTTAAATGATTTAAAACTTTTAAAAAGTGCTTAGAGAGCCAGTGAGATGACTCAGTGGATACGGGGCCTTGCTTCCCGGCTGAGCTTGAGTTCTAGAACACATGGTAGAAGGGCAGAACTGACTCGTACAAGTTGCGCTAACCTAAACATGTGTATGTACCCAAAGCAAGTAAAGTACTTAGAATGGCTCCCAAGACATTGTAAGAAGAAATATTTGTTAAGAAAGCTACAGGGAGACTGGAAAGATGGCTCAGAAGTTAAGAGCACTGCCTTCTCTTCCAGAGATCCTGGGTTCAATTTCCAACAACCACCTGATGGCTCAGAACCACCTGTAATGGGATCTGGTGCCCTCTTTTGACCTGCAGGCAGAACAGTGTATACATAATAAATAAATAGATCTTTTAAAGAGGAGATTTATTTTTAGAAAAGAAAAAGGCAAAGCTACAGGGAGGTGGTGACATATGCCTTTAATTCCAGCATTCAGGAGACACAAATAGGTGGATGGATCTCTGCATTCAGGAGGCAGAGTTCAAGGCCAGTCTGGTCTACAGAGCAAGTTCCTGGACAACCAGGGCTATATAGAAAAACCATGTCTCAAGAAACCAAAAAGGGAAAGAAAGAGGTGGGGGGTGGGGGAGAAAGAAAGCGAAATGAGGGATCAGCAGTTAAGGGCACATACTGCTCTTCCAAAGAACCTATAATCCAGTTCCCAGAACCCAAAACAGGCTGCTCAGGACCACCTGTGATTCCAGCTCAGGGAATTGGACACCTCTGGCCTCTGCAGATACCTGCACACACCCGCTGCGGGCACCTGCACACGCTCACTCTAGGCACCTGTACACACTCACTCTAGGTACCTGCACACACCCGCTGCGGGCACCTGCACA